CCTCCCGAGTGGAGTTTTATCCCTGAGTGGAATTTTATCCCTGTGGGAACCACCAGGCTCCAGGGAAGGCAGGAAAAATCCTCTGTAGGACAAGATTCAATCCCAAATCCCAACAAATCCCAATAAATCCCCTGGGGTGCCCGTTATTTTATGGATTTGTTGTTATTCCTGGATTATTTCAGAGTTTTCCCTCTCAGATTTGGTGATTTCAGGAATTCCTGGCACTCACACACAAATATTCTCCTTTCCATAGGTTTGCCCAGCAGCTCTTTGGGATTCAGGTGGGATTTTCCCCATTTCCACCAGGCGCAAGTTCAGGGGGCTGGAAAAGTGGAAAAAGCATCCCCAGGACAAGGGGAGAGGATTTAAGGTGAAAGAGGGAAAATTAGATGGGATTTTGGGCAGCCAGGACACGGCCTCCATATAACCCAGCTCCCGGCAGGAGAGAGAAACACCCCAACACCACCAATTAAACTGAAATTAGGGATTATTGGGAGATGGAAAGAGCCTCTCCCATTTCCAAGATCTCCTTTTCCATACTTGGAGCTGGGCAGCCAGGACATGGCCTCCACGTAGCCCAGGTCCCATCAGGAGAACAAAGCACTCCAACACCACTAATTAAATTAAAATCAGGGATTAATGGGAGATGGAAAGAACTCTCCCATTTCCAAGATCTCCTCACCTTCTCCTTTTCCATACTTGGAGCCGGGCAGCCAGGACACGGCCTCCACGTAGCCCAGCTCACGGCACAAGAACAAAACACTCCAATACCACTAATTAAATTAAAATCAGGGATTATGGGGAGATGGAAGGAGCCTCTCCCATTTCCAAGATCTCCTCACCTTCTCCTTTCCCATACTTGGAGCCGGGCAGCCAGGACACGGCCTCCACGTAGCCCAGCTCCCGGCACACCACGTGGGCGGCGTGGATGGAGAAGTCGTCGTCGCACACGGTGCCCCACTCTCGGCCGTAGAACACCTCCAGCCTGCCCTCGTTGTGCCTCCTCTTGTGGCCGGCCAGGCGCAGCTGGATCCTGGGCACATCTGGAGCTCTGGGGGGCGGCTGGAACACCTGCGCGGGCGCCTCGGGGGAGCCGGGCAGGTGAGGCCAGGGCTGGTGCTGCGCCCAGCTCAGCCCGGCCAGCAGCAGCAGCAGGCAGCGGCTGGAGGGGGAAATTCGGGATCTTCCCATTCCCAGTGCTGCCAGAGCCAGATCCAGGCAGGGCGGTCCTGGAGGAAAATCAGATTTGAATTCAAATGTAATGGTACAGCGTGGATGTTGTCTATAATGTTATTTGTGTTATTATGTTATTTAT